TAATAATTTATTATTTCCATCAATGTTATCTAGTGAGGTAAAATAGAATATGAGCCCACCAGAAACATCTATATTTATATGAAAGTATCTTTTATATTTCTATATCTTTCTCTGATATCACCTATAGATTTATGAAAGAGCATAAATATAGTTACTCCAGACATGAGGGCCACAGCAAAAGCAAAGTGATGCTTATTTGCAGCTCCTCAATGAATTTGCACTAACACATTTAGGTTTATTGAGTGCATTTTCAGGGTGAGGACGGCATAATGGTTGCTGCTCTTCAGCTTTATGTCCTTGATGTAAACCTGACTACCTGACCTCATAAATATGTTCAATATATTTTTTCACAAGGAATATCAGAAGAAAAGTAATTTTACAAAAAACCCCACTGAGTGTGAAATTAATGTTTTGATATTTATAAATTTCCAAACAATTTATATTATAAATGTTAAAGGGGCTGGGGATTTAGCTCAGCGGCATAAGCACCTGCCTTGAAAGCAGGCGGTCGTGAGTTCAATCCCTAGTACCAATAAAAAATGAAAAAGACAAAAAAAAATAAATGTTAAAATTAACAAAATTCCTCCTATATATTTAAATTTTGCAATGTACTCTAGATCATCTACAATTTCTTAAATCATCATAGGATCATCACTCTGGGTCAAGATGCTTCTAGACATAAAATTATCTATGCTCTCTGGAGTTGGAGCCTTTGGATGAATTGTAATTCTTTGCTATCCCCACCTATCACTGTAGACAGTTAATGAACAATATCTGTTTTGGGAGTGAATAGGTCGATTCCAGAGACATTGACTTCCCAGCTATTGTTGGAATATGAACTTGTCTCTGTGTTTTTATTTTATTTTATTTATTTTTTGCTGCATTCTTGAGACTGACAATTGGGACTCTTGGCTGGGTTCCTGATAGTTGGCACTCGATCCAATTAGAATGTGTGACCATCAAACCATAATAACTACTATCAAGGTGCTGACAATCCACCAGACATTGTATGAACAAATTAAAAGGTAGGTGGAGCATTTTACTATTTATATAGCTCAGATGCAATTAGCAAATAGGAATCTGTTGTAGGGTACTGTTTGTTAAATATAACTATGGCAATCATAGTTTGCATAACTATGGCATTCTTTGTCTGCTGAAGAGAAAGAATTTAGCCAATTGATTATGCAGATGTTAAATGATGCAAACCTCCAAGTCCCATCAAAATATATTTTTAGTTTACTCCATTAGATTCCAAAATTCTATCCTTCCTTTCCTACAGTGGGCACACATATAAGAGATTGGTATAAAATAGGTGAAAATTTTATATAGCTACAATATGGTAAAAAAAAAAAAAAAATCCACCCCAGAATAATACCTATATTTAACTTGGTGAAAATGGCTCTGTCATCATTGCAACATAACCTAGAAAATAGAGCAGATGAACAGTAAGTTATCATGACAATACGCTCTAGCAGTGCTAACAAAATGATTATGTATTCATAATACATAAAATAAAGTGGAAAAGAACATTGATATAAGCATAATTAAAAAGTCAGATCACCATGATAAAACTTCTGATGGGCCGCTAGAGAAAAAATGAAGCATGTTTAAAAAATATGGATAATCAAATATATTCACTTTTGCAAGATATTCCTAATAAAATCCAAAACTTTTTCAATTTACTTATAAGCTGAGAATCATTCTCTGCACCCTATTTGGAAAACAGTGCTTGTGTTCCTGTGCTTCCTCCAGTACACTCCTCTCCAGTACCAAGGACTCAGATTGAAAACGATCCCCCTCTTTCCCCTTCCTCAAGGAAGCCAAAGTCTAGGAACATGAGACTATATCCACAGGCATTATGCTTGCCAATAATAGAAGAGAGAGATCTCAAAGACCCAGCTCACAAAAGCAATATGCACATAGCTTTTTAACATTTTACTCTTGAAACATCTGAGACAAAATGTGCTTGATAATGGAGTTTAGGGCTCCTTAGGTAACATAATTTAAGGCTTCCAAATAGTTCCAGGTGATGTAACCCATCTTGCTCGCACATGTCTATCACTGGCACATTTCCTACATTTTGAATCACATTTAAAGACAATCATTTTTGAATAAGCTCAAGATAATCAAAATAGTGAAGATAAAAACTTACAAGCTATTACTCAGGAAATGTTGTCTGACACAGGCAGATATGCTGATTTAAAGGTTCAATCATTTGCCCTTCCTTTCTCTTCACACAGTGCAAATAATAGCATGGATTTCTGTCCCAGAAGATGGTACAGCCAATAAGTCATTTGTCTAGATACTTCAAGGTCCTACAGAAACTTATTTCTAGGTTATAGCTAGGTGGAAAGAAGTTATAAATAGACATATTTCTTATGACAATGCAGCTAAAATATTTTTGTCAACTAGCATATGAGAATGCCAAAGAGGAGTGAAAATGAGTTTTATATTCAGTGCCTCATACGAGTTATCAACTTCATACAAGCATGCCAAAATTACTCATTCTACCACTCACACTTCTGCACTGATGGCATAGGCTATACCCCAACATCTTTCCCAGAAGCCTGATATGATCAAATGTTTGAATTGTGGCAATCAAGGACACACTGGCTGACTCTACCTGGAGTGTATAAAGGCACCAAGTCCTCCAGCTATGCATAATATGATTAGGCCAGCATCAAATCTATCAGGTACTCTGTGCCTTTATTGCATGTGAGTTTTTTTTCCTGGGCAAAAGATTGTAGGTCGAGGTTTCATAAGGATGGCAAACCCTGCTCCAGGGAAACAGAGAATTGGCCCTTCCCTGGGGTCAGCCATAAACTCAGGAGATGGTATCAAACAGTGTCCTTCTATGCACATTTGAACTAGTTACACCTTCTCCAAACCAAGCAAACATCAGTTCTTTGCTGGGATGAGTACAAGGTGTGACATTCAATCCTTCTTGCAAGAAACCACCCAGAGTGCAACATTAGATTTACCAGAAGCTCCCAGAATTCATTTGGCAAGGGAGAGAACATTTTTAACTCTCATTGGAATGTATGGGCCACTGCCAGAAGGGACTATAGAATTAGTCGTGGAAAATAAATCTAAATTACTAAAGGACTTACTGCAATTCCTACTATAATAAGTAGTGATTGTCATCAAGAAATATCAGTTGTGATGTGCTCCACCAACATATGGATAATTGAACCAAATTCTCTGACTTTAGTTTTTCCAATAATCAATTTAACTCCTGTTCTCTACACCTCAATCATGTCTGGTACCAATAAGTATCTGAGCAGGTCAATTTGTTTTTCTCAAGCTGTTAGTGCTCCTAGACCTACTTTCATAATTAAATTAAATGGAAAATATTTTATTAGACTGATTGATACAAGAGCTGCTATCACTATAGTCAGTAGCCAATCTTGGCCATCTGCTTAGCTGACTAGACCTGTCTCCACGTCCTTGATAGACTTAGGCTGCCCTCAGTCTGTATTACAGAGTGCCATTCCACTTCCATATATTGTGGGCAGACAGGCATTATAACACTATTTTTAAATTTCCATCAATTTATGGGGAAGAGACCCTATAAAAGAGTGGAGCCATGTCCTAGTTACATCTGCTCCTCAGAAGAGCATATAGTCTACTAACAAAAGAAAGGCTAAGATGGAAAGTCAAGAAAACAAAGATTTGAGTAAGAACTTACATGGCTGTACACTTCCACTTGAGCCTTTAATAAAACAAGGTAGATATGGAATTGTATATGAGTCAAATTTGTAGCAGGGGTCATTGGCACTTCTCTGCCTATTTTTGCACTGCCAATTCAATGGAAAACTACAGAGCTTAAATGGGTTCCTCAGTGGCCCCTAACCAGGAGAAGTTAATGATCTTATTGACAATAGTAGAAGAGTAGCTACAATTAATGATTTATTTATCTTTTGCTAGCATTTTATTATAAGATATACAGTAGCTCTGAGTAAATATTTAATAACATTTCTTCAATGAAACTTTTTCCCTCACAGCTCTATTCTACTCTGTCCTTCAATAGAATCCCTCTTTCAACTCCTTCTACCTTTTAGCAACAATATGTTCCCAAAAATATACATATGGATTTATCCATATTACTCCTGGGTCTTCAGTGATGTTGAGAGCATAGTTACATGCATTTTGACAGTTCCTGTTGCCAACACAATATTTAATAATGGCTTTTCCACAGATCCTCAGAATTATGTTTGCCCATTTATTGATATTATTTTGAAACAATTCTCCATATGAATGTTTTTAATCTTACTGAATCCATCAAGTAGAATCTACATTATCTCATAATATTTATATGTTAAGGTTTTATTACATTTCTCCTTGATATACCAGCACATGGTTAAATGTCAGTGCCAAGCATAGATATATAATTTATTTGTAGAAGAAAAATAAAAACCATAAAGCCATTTCAGTAGCTGATTCAAGAATTTGAGACTCATAAATATGTAAAGAATATGTAATTTACAGCTCTGCAAGCTATAAATACTGAATGTACAAGCTCTAAAAACAAGACTAAATATAACAATGAATTCATGGATCACTGGAGAGTTGTATGTCACCTTTCTTCTTATGCACCTGAAACCCAGGTGCCAAACAATGTCTCACAGTATAACTCTTGAATCGTAAAATTCCACTAAAAAAAAAAAAAAAAAAAAAAAAAAAAAAAAGGTGTCCTATACTCACAGACCCCTTACTGTAGAGAGTGTGTGCCTATACTTGCAGGTATTTACTCATGTACAGGTTAAATTTCAAAAATAAAATTATGAAGGCTGATTATAATTTATAAGACATCATAATTAACTTTAAGACCACTAAAATGGAGCTTCAAACATTAGAGAATTAATATGTGGGAAACAAGTAAAGTCCACCATATCAGTGTATCTGAATAATCATGTTTTATGGATGGACTTCCAAGAACTTCCATATATGAATTCATGCAACTTTCCATTCTCCTACAGTGTACAGTGCATGGACTATACCTGAACAGATGACACCTGCATCTTCACTATGAAGGCAGTAAGCCTTGCCCCAGCCCTGGGAAGGACACATCCGTACATGAGGCTCCTCGCCTGTGCAGCTCAGATGGCTGAGGAAGATGGGTCCTGATCCAGATGAGAAGTATGCAGACATTGTAACACCAAGTGCTTCTCCACAAACCAACTGCCTGCACACCACATCAGCATCCCTCTTGTCCCAGTCGTTATCACAGATGGTGCCCCAGGTGTCATTGTGAAGAATCTCCACTCTTCCCACACAGCGATGACCCCCATCCACCAAGCGGAGTTGTGGGCTCTCTGAGGAAAGAGAATCATATCAATTGGTGCTTTTATAAAGGAAATTAGGTTGATTTTCTGGTCTCTTGGGAAACAAGCATTCGTTTTCTGGTATTCACATTAAGGCTGCAGAACCTGCTGGGTCAGACAAGAAGCCACTGCTCCAAGCCAGCAGATGTGTGCAGTCCCACAGAAATAAATGTTATGAGTGATGACAAATGGATTTGAAAAACAATTAGTGGAACTAATTTGAAAATAACCTAATGAATAACCTGATGTAGGCAGTGGTAAATGTTCCTACCAAAATTTTGTCACAGAGTTCTATGAGGATATGCAAAAAATAATTTGGAAATTTCATTGTACAATCTATGCTGAGTGGAGTACATTCCACTGAATGAATCCTTAGAGACACTATATTTGTATAGCCTCTGAATTCATTTCTTATAAACCACTTACTGCCATTTACAAGGGTTGAGTTCAGATATTTGTATAGTCAGCACATTGACCACAACTTGCATAATGCAAACACAGTTTAATCTTCTCAGAGGTTGGGAAATACATCTGGTTTAATTCATATTTCATATAAAATTTTCAGTACTCAACAATACATCAGATATTATGTACAAATAGAACATCACAAAACAGCAACATTTTAAAAGAAGATTAAACAAGGCATAAACATACAACATAAAGATGTTGGAGTTAGTAGACAAAAAGCTTAAATATCACCAAAGTATATAGGAAGAAATAGAACTAACAGTAAATGTATTTAAAACATGAAAGCCAATTTTCACATCAAGTTGCTAAAAAATCAAACAAATCATTTCTATTTGAAAATAAAGCATTTTGAGGATAAAATTAAGGGACACAGTGATAGAATTTACTGACTTAGTAACAGAATCACTGATAAACACAACAAACGCACTGAAAATCAAATGGTGTAAGACAGAACTGGGACATATAAAAGTGGTCATCTGAGCAAAGAGACAGCAGAAAAGTAGCAGAAAGCAGAGCAAATGACAGGGAATGGAAGAGGATGAAAGACAGAAGATGGGAGGAAGTGTTTAAGAAACATGAGGAACACAGAGATGAGAGAGGGAGAGAGAGAGAGAGAGAGAGAGAGAGAGAGAGAGAGAGAGAGTATGTATGGTAAATATGGCATTTGAATACTATGCAGAGTGGCTAAAGTTCTGCTGTCCATGAGTCTCACCTGCACAGACAACTTCAACACCTCCACCATGCTGGCAGCTGCTTCCAGGACAGGGCACTCTAGGGCACAACCAGACCTCAGGCTCCTGGCCCTCACACTGGAACTCTTCATTCCACACCAGTTCACTGGTATTTCTGGACAAGTTTCCAAGAACAGACAAAGCCTCGCTACACCCCAGCTCTACACAGATGACCTGGGCAGTGGGGAATGTGAAGTTCACATCAGACACCAGAATCCAGCCTCTTCCAGAGTTCACTTCCACTCTTCCAGAGCAAAGTCCATAACTTCCACCCAGACGTACAAATCCTGAGGAAAATAAAAACGTAAGTGTACTTGATCCAGGCTTAGAATCTCTAAATGATATGTTAGAGTGTCCATTGTTAGAGCTTTTTTTTTCCCCAGGGTTGGTTCATATGGGAAATGGATGGAAACTTATTAAAATTAGAGCCACAAGGGAAAGTGTTTGATGATAAATTCAGGAAGAATTTTCAGAGTCAGTTCAGAATTTTTCATCCTGTGAGAGGAACATCAGAATTCTAATCATTTGGTGCCTTTGATATCAAAGCACATATTGATCTACCATTCATCTATGCACCTATCTAAAAATTATTTTCCTTTTTTCTAAGATATGTATTCTGCAAGTGAATTTGAGCTAAAGTTACAATAACAACAAAAAGATTAGGCTTAGGTTTTCATTATTTCATCACTAGAATATTTCTGTACCTGCATAATAATGTCAACAATTAACAGTTGACAAAGAATGAAATCTTTTCAGTATCCTTAAACCTCACAATTTACATTATTTTCCCATTTATACATGAGAGTGAGGCCCACAATTTAGAGAGCAAACAAAGCAGAAACCAAGTTTTGACACTAAAATATCTAAGTTGTGTACATTAATCTTTTCATCCAGAAACCAGAAAGAATTTTGAGAAACTGCATCAGAAGCAACAAATCACCTTGAGTTTTCATTTTCTTCATTGTTGATAGTTTATTATAAGTAAATTGTCACTTTTAAGTCAAATTTAAAGAAACCAGGAAACACTTAGGGAAGATGCTTAGGAAGCAATTTCAAGAATGGATTCAGAATCCAAGGAGATATCTGACTACAACGTGAACTGTTGAGTAACAAAAGATGTTAATACTTAAGTAAAGTAGTAATTGTCTTTCCAAGAGAAAAGTGTCCAATATTTTGTTCTCTAACAAGGCAGAAATATGAGATGAACATAAAATGTATAGGTTTATTTTCTTAAGACAATGCTCTTTGAAATTCTAATTGGATGTGCTCCTACTTCTGCAGCTACAGCTCCCCTGGCTGCTCTGGTTTCCGCCCAGGTACAGCTACACATTAGGGGCCCATGCAAGATCACCACCAAAAATCGCCAGTCATGGAGGACCTGACTTCAGTCTACCCATTTATATTTCATATTTTCATTACATGTTGCACTTTTGTAGCTAACAAAAAGAGTGATAGATTGAATAAACTGAGATAGAATGTCATTTTATTTTTCTTTGTATTCATGTTCTTTTTCTTTACCTTTTTTTTTTTTTTCATATTGGTAATTGAATCAGAGCCTTCCTATTGAGTCACATTCCTAGCTCTATAGTTTTGGTTATTAACCGAGAGACAGAGTCTTTCTATGTTACCCAGGCTAAATGTGAATTTGAGAATGTACTGGGATTTGCAGTCACTGGCACTATTCTTTAAACTTCTTTACTAACACACAATTAGAGGCTGTTTTTACAGTCACTCTTCACCTGAGTCCTCAGATCTCTAGTGGATGACTAAAACAGAACAAATCCTTCACATCTTTGTATTGTTTTGTATGTGCCTCTTTTTCTACGTTAGTCTTGAGGCTTGTTCTTGGTTAACCCAGCAATTTTCCATCAAATGGTCCTAGGATTCTACTGTCCTGCCATAAATATGAATGAATTCACACAATCTTGCCCTTCGAGTTATAATTTTCTGAGTCATTATCCCATCTGTTACCCTGGGTTTTAGAAATAACAAATATATATATATATCTTGTGAGAAGGGTCAAAACTAACATAGTGAACCCAACAATTTTAAACCTGCTATCAAAGCTCTGCATGACAGATCCTTGACTTTGATCAATTAGACAATTACTGATGATGCATTTCCCATTCTATGACCTTTATATCACTCCTTTTGTTTCCTGTACAATCCCTTAGTTCTTGCTATCTCCCTGATCTAAGATTAAAGATGCTGACACCTGAGTCTTCACAGTATAAATCCTATGAAGAAATTGTTTCCTGATTTCTCTGACACTTTCTCTCCCAATTTTCAGGGAAAACTGAACTTACACTGATGCTTCCATCTAGTTCCTTGCTTTCTTGCTTTTTCAAGTCAGTCTTCCTGATCTAATATGAAATTTTTGCCTCTCTCTGTCTCTCTCTGCCAATATATATATATATATATATATATATATATATATATATATATATGCAAAATCTACTGAGTACAGAATAGTGTGACTACATTTCATCAAATTACACAGGCAGTCCAATGGACTCATACAGCAAAAGTTAAATGTAAAATACAAAATTATAAGTATTGAAACAAGCTGATATATTTACATAATAACTGACATCAACGTTACTTCAGACAAATAGGGAAAGGATGTCCACAGACCCAGAACATCAAGGAAACATCTTGCTCTGCTGTCCTAAGGATCTTGGTGCACTGTAATTAAAACCTGTAGGTGAGAAAGCCAGACGTGGTAGCTCACGCCTAAAATCCCAGCCATCGGGAGACTGAGGCGGGAAGATTGTTGTGAGTTCAAGACTAGCCTGGGCTACAAAGTGAGCTCAAGGCCAGCCTGAACTGCATAGCAAGATACTGTCTCAGTAAGAGAAAAAAAAAAAAAAAAAAAAAAAACTTGTAGGTGTCTTATGTGAGTTTGGTACATATGAACAGAAGCCTTGCATGGTATGTACCCTTAAAGTCAAAGAAATGCACTTGTGTAAAAGGAGTAATTATTTTTAAAAATGTGATGTTCTCTACCTTTAAATTAGTGAAAAACCAATCTCTGTTTTCACTTCTCTTCTTAGAACTCTTCGTTATTGTATTTCTTGTGTACTATTGTCAATGTCTTTTCATTTTGGTGTCTTTTGGGCATAACATTTAAGATTTGTATGTGTTCCTGAGGACCAAATTACCTATACTCTTGGCTTCTGTCACTTTTGAAAGCTCAGTGGACATTCTCATTAAGGCACTCAATGAAGAAAACAGAATAGTTGTTGGAGATCCCAATTTGGTAAAGATAATAGCAGATTTGGAAATGATGAAAATGATGGAGAGAGAGTGCTGCCTAGGGAACAAATATGAGCTTTCTGAACAGGTTTATTTGTGTAGTAAACAGGTGTTTGAAAGCCATATTGAAAACCATTTCCATAATATATTTTCAAAATATGAGTATTATTTAATTTTTTTTTTTTGTCTTTTTCCTTTTTATCGGTACCAGGGATCGAACTCACGACTGCCTGCTTACAAGGCAGGCGCTTATGCCGCCGAGTTAAATCCCCAGCCCCCTATTTAAAATTTTATAACACACCAGAAACTTCAGTAGGTGCTAAGTAACTCAGGTAAAAATAATGATCATTATTTAATGGGAAATTTTAAGATCTTTGGGAGAAAAGCAGAGATCTCAAATGCATTTCTCTAATTACAGTGAAGCCATTAGAAATAAGCTATACTTGATTTTAGGCAAAATGTAAAGAAGTGGTATTATCACAGATACTATTTTATCTCTCTGCTTATATAGGTACATGAGAATTCCTTTGTATCCAGCTTTGTATTATCTGGAAGTAGGTACTAAGTTTTTTTTTTTTTTTTTTTTTTTTATATAACTCAAAGCTTTACATATTCTTTTAAAAGAAAAATGTACAGAGAAACATTTCTCATGTTGATACAGAAATAATTTATGATTCAGGACCTTTCATTCACAGATCTTTGGCCATTGAAACTGATGTGTGAATTGAAGAAAAAGAAACTTAGAAATTCGCAATAATCTGTAAATTTTCCTGTGCCTGATTAACCCTGCTCCTATCACTAAGCGACTCCTAAGTTTTAAACATTGTTTCCTTCTATACACACAGAAACATGCAATGCAAATGGATCATGTACAGGCTTCTCCTCAGACGTTATTTTACCAATTTGATCGTATGCATGGTAATTTATCAATGTTATGAATTATATGTAAATTACAGAAATAAAATTATGAAGTTTGATTTTAATTGGTAAGACACTAGAATGAACTATCTTGCTAGATAAGATAATCTAAGTGGGAAAAAAAAAGTTCAAGCCTTAAGGGCAGTGAAGCCCATCACCATCAGACATGTAAGTACTCATGCTTTATGGATGGACCTCTTAGCCCTGCAATGCCCACACACATTTCCTATTATAAGAACAGACACGTATATTCCTGGAACTGTCTATCCATCCTCCTCTTGGATTAATTACAAACCATACCTGAGCAGATGACTCCTGCAGCTGGCCATCCGGTACAGTTGAGCTGATCCCAGCTCCAGGAGGGGCACTGCCACAAATGGGTCTCGTCTCCTGTGCAGCCTGGGTCATTAAGATGGATGGAGTCTGGTCTGGACCCAAAGTAACCATTGAGTGTGGCAGAGGTAGCCTCTCCACAGCCAATCTGTCTGCACACCACGTGGGCTTCACTCATGCTCCATTTGTCATCACAGATGGTGGCCCATGAGCCCTGGTGAAGAATCTCCACTCTTCCCACACAGCGATGGCCCCCCTCTGCCAGATGCAGCTGTGGGATTCCTAATGAGAGAGCATCGTGACAATGGTCAGATTTGTAAAGAAAATCAGACAAGCTTGTTGTTTATTGTGGGTCACTCAACGAAGCAGTAGGTACACTCCACATTCAGTTTGTGGAGGCTGTTGGGTAAGACAGAGTCCTGATCCAGGCTTCAGATAGTCTGGACTCCCACAGAAATAAAAATGACCACAGAAGATTTGTATGATTGAAAATTAAGAAATCAAACTAAGCTGAAAATAATCTGGTGAACAGTCTCAAGGAAAATTTCCTAACAGAGTTAAAATTTCTCTTAAAGTATTCTTTAGACCATGTGAGAAAGATACATTGAAAATGTCAGAATCCCTGTCCTCAGTACAGCGTCATTCAACGAATGAGGTCTTAGAGACTTTTGAATGGGTGAGCACCTGAAATGATTTCTTAAAATACCCTCACACTCTCATGCCACTGACCAAGATGTTAGAAGGATTTAGAGGAGAAAAATGAAGTTTAGAAACTTAGGTGAGATAATCAGAAGCTTACCAGAGTAATTCAGAACTAATCTTTTTTGTACACCCATTCAAAGCTGAAAAATTATTTGATGATGAGACAGCCCATGATTTACCCACAGACATTATTCCTAACTTTCAATTTTCACTTATGGATACCTACTTTCAATGTATATTTCTCTTCTTGGAGCAGATCCAGCAATCACAGATAGGAGACAGTGTCAAATATTATTAAGAATGGCAATATTTAATGAGAAATCATAGGAAGTTGATTGTTTCCTTAAACACATCTACTGATTACTTTGGCTTTCTGCCAAGTCTTATTATTGTTCAAGGATTGGAGTTTCTTTTTCTTTTGATGCTAAGTTATATGTTTCAAATTCTATATCAGAATACATATGGGTTAGGTTTCCAATATGAGCACAGTTCAGCAGAAGATTTGAGTATAACCATTTTAGCATTAGTCTGTTTTCCATGAATGGCTGTTTTTTGGGGACAATCAAGCTCCTTCACACTGAACTACTTAGTGATTTTTACTTTATTTTTATTTTGAAACAGTATCTCAGTAAATTGCTTAAATTAACTTTTTAAACCCCGATTTGTGATCCTTCTGTCTTAGATTCCAAAATGTCTGGGATGATAGGTGTGAACCACTTTCCTATGAATAGTATGTTGTTTTCATATATGAACAAATCATTCAGGTAGAATAATGTCAATATACATTATTCAAACCAATGATAAAGGCAGAGAATAAAACCTAGATCTTCTGTTACCATGGAAAGGAAGGAGTTTAAAGCAGTTCACAAAGCTCTCACTGAGTACAACTAAAGACATTGGAAATGTAAAACTATTAAAGTTATTGCATTTTATTTCCACAGAAGAGAATGTACATGCTAACATTTCAAAAATTTTCAGTTATTAACCAGAGCTTTCCATGTTATTTTTCTCTAAGAGAAATCCTTGATTCTGCTCAAGGGTTAATGGCTCACAATCTGGTTTTGTCAAGCTGAGGACTGCATTAGGACACAGCAGCCACTCTCATTATGTTTAGTTGCACTAAAGTAAGGTTAGTTTGAGTGTAGAAAGATGTTGCCTATTCACAGCAGTGCTGCAATATCTTGTTCTATGGGGTGAATGTTAGGATGCCTGCCTGAGCATCTGGATATGAGCAGAACTCTTTCTAGGTCTGACCACTCTCAAGGATATTCTCTCTCTGAAATGTTTATCTGAATGGAACAGATGTCTTCAGCCTTTAGGTACTTGGTCAGCTGCAAAAAGCTGCAAATTTTCTATTACTGGTTATATTATCTGAATTTTGTACAGCCTAAAATTTCATTCTTTGGGGTATCGACATATCAGCTTCATTTGTTGAAGGAATATTATCCTCTCTCTCACTCATGTGTGTCATTCACCCCAATGTTCACACACATTTTGGCTGCTTCACTAATAGTTGCAGCATGACCCCAGAAGTCCCTGAGATTATGCAGGTATTTGTGCCTATGTATGTCCAGTCTTCATGCCCAAGGTGCTATGTTCATCATTAGTACTATGACATTGCACAACTGAGTATGGAGCAAGGCTATTTGTTGGCTAGTAAGCACAGAAGTTGGCCTTCAAATTAATTGCTATACTGGTTAAATATAATTCTGCACAGTTCCTCATGTTGCTCAGCACAGTTTCTGTGATGAACCTTATAGAAAAGAGCTGGTGTAAGGTGGAGACACATCTTCCTACTGCATTGGAATTTTATTCTAGCCTACATCACCTGTAGCTTCTTTGCAGCAAGTTTGTACCATGAATTTGCACAGCAGAATCATCTCTTAACAACGTGGACCTTATTACACTACAAATGTTCCACTGGCCTTCACAAACTGCAGATTCCAGGTGGATGATAGCATTGCAGCATCAGTAGACACTGAACTGCCCATTCTATTCTTCCTTTACTTTGAGGTTTCCCATCAGGGAAAGGAAAAATATCTTCTTGGAGAAGAAAAGGAAAGTAGACATCCAGCTCTGGCAAAGTGCCATGATTGGTCACTTCCAGTAACACTGCCCAGATCCAACAAACATTCTCCCAGTGCTTGACCATATTGAGATTGAGGCAACAAGACCTACCTCACTCCAGGGAGAGGCTTGTGGGGATGGACTACTCTTTCTAGGTAGTATTCTTGTTCTCACTGAACAACACAGCATCTGTGAATTTGAGTAGTTCAGTCTTTGTTTTGTCTTCTAGTACTTAAATTGTAGCAATACACAGAATAGTCTTAAAGTAAACTTAGAATTAACGCACCACCTAATAGTGAAATAGAATTATCCTCAGGCTAAATGAAAATTGTCAATGCAGTTACATGTGGGAAAGAAAAGAGCAAAAAACCCAAGTAAGATGGTGGAAAAAGGAAGAATGAGTATAATTAATGTAAGCTATGTATTTGCATGGAGATGTCATAAAAATATATATGACCTATACATATTGCTAACTTTTTAAGCCGATGTAGTATAACTTAAATAAATATTTCTTTAAAGGGTGCTTGAAATCACATGCTCACAACCTTAATCATCTTCCAGGGAAGAACATACCTCACCTAATGGCCAATAATGTCTGAAACTGACCAGTAGTGACTATTATGAAAAACTCTTGAACTTAGAATTTAAAATAGCTCTTGTAAGGAGTCTCAATGATTTTTAAGAACATGGAGACATGATTTGGTACCCTAATGTTAAATATGTAGAGAGAAATGACAGCAGATAAAAACCCCACAAAACTCAAAAAGCATATATCCTTCAGCTGAAAGTCACATTAATTGAAAGTAAAAACAATTAGAGTCTTCTGGAAAAATGGTAAAAGGATGAGCAATAACAAACAAAGTTCTCCAAGATTTGAAATCCAGATACTGGATAACAATGCGGCGAATAAAAAGAGGGAGGTGGTTCTTCAGAACTCTGATAGGAAAATTCGAGCCTACAGAGAAGTTGAGTCACACAACACAGAAAGAGGAAAGGGAAGTCTATACTTTATCCCCAGCTCTTGAATCCTGAGAAAGGAAGAGTGTGTTGACAAAGAAAGTGAAAGTAGAAGACTTCAGAAACATTCAGAGAGAAACACAGCAGTGACATGGCCCAGTAGATGCTCTCTGGTACAGAAACTGGTGATTCCAGTACAACCAAATGTCTTATCTTCCTAAAGAAAGTGTTTAGATTGCATTATAGGGAAGGGATGACTGAACCTGTGATTTAGAGCAGTCTGAGGTTGGCATCAAATTAAGTCTACCACTGCTACCACAGTGACTAGGTGAGGTACAGCAATGATAGACATCTGCCATCAGGAAATCTTGGGTAGGCTGATTAGAAATCCGAGAAGGGTTTAAATTACTTGACTCAGACTGCACTCTAATGATCACAAACCAGGCTCAGCTGAATACCTGCAGATTTCAAAGTTTCATAATTTCTTCCCTCACTCTAAGCCTAATAACTGCTTGCTGGTGACTGTATCCAACATGAATTTTGGATCTGATTGACTTTTTTTCCACCAGTGTGAGCACTAATATTCTTGAATTGGACATTGCTCCCAAACTGTAGACCTTGGAAGAAAAATCACACATTTGAGAGAATTTTTTTCTTTTTGTTTTTGGAATTATTGTTTTTGGTTGTTTGCTTGATGCATTTTTCTTTCTTTCTTTCTTTCTTTCTTTCATTCTTTCTTTTTTCTTTCTTTCTATTTCTTATTTCTTTCTGTTTTACTTTTTCTGGTGAATGTGAGCATAGTTGTGCTGTGTACTTGTGTGTGTATTTTCATATTGGTTCTTCTACTTTTCTCTTCTTTCTTTCCCTCCACTCCTCTTTACTATTCCTTTGGGGTTTGGAAATTTTCCTTTGTCTTTCTTATGTGCTTCTTGTCTTCTTTTCTATGTTTTCCTTCTCTCTTTTTAATGTTTCCCTCTTTACTTGCTTTTCTCTTTTCTTACTTTCAATACAACTTCTTTTTCTTGTTTTCTTTTAGCTTCTACTTCTTACAAGTTTTTCTCTTACTTTTATCCGGTTTTATAAACATTGTTCTGCTCTTCAGTTAGATATTTGTTCCAGTGCTGTATATGCCTCTTGCATCACAGAGTTTAAGTTTACAAAGATTTCCTGCTTCACTACTCCCTTTAAAGTCCCTTATATTTAATAGTACCACCACAAGCATTGCTAATCTTTTAATAGTTTGCTACAACTGTAAAATAATCACCTAATAGTTTTCTAACATTACCAGGGATATAGTAGTTGCATTTAGTATATATTAAATGTAACTCAAATCCTGGGTTGTTAATATTTACTTAAGAACTGCCAATTTCTTCTGTAGAATTATGAGTGCTCAATTTGTCTGGTATTTTAATATGTATTTTTGTCTTGAATGACAATATTAAAACCAATTTATTTGATATTAACAGAATTGCATAATTGTTGCTGTTTCTTTTTCAGAAGTTCAAGAAAAGTACAATGCACTTCAGAAAACCTTGCTTGATGAGCAAACTACTCTC